GTCTTCCTATTCGTGTACTATGAAGCACATGCAAATCAGGATGTTCACAGATGCGCAAATTCCACTAAGCTCTTCCGCATTTACTGCCTCACACGATGTTTGCACGCGGAAAGCCGTCAAGTCTTCCAACTCGGCGATTTCTATTCGCTATTACGCCATTGAGTTGGCTGATTCATAAAAAAACTCAAATACCATTAAGATTGGAATCGAAAATAAGCTTGAATAAATGGCATAGCCAAATCATTTAACAGAAATGCATTTAATATTAATAATTAACTTTGTTTAATTTGAAAATTCTTTCATTGCTTTGAAATTATAAAATGCGATAGATTCATATTTTCATATAGATTCATATTTATATTTACAATTATAAGTTTTGCATATACCGGATATACAGTTGTTTGTTTTAATTGTAATATATTTTAAATATTCTTTTCATGAGATTTTAATTTAAGCTGGCGTGAATATGAGATTCTACAGAATTGATTAGAAGCTAAATGATAATTTAGCTAATCGAAAGAAGCTAAATTTTTACTGTTATTAAATGGCATTATTGATTTAATTAAAATGATATATTAATTGCATATATTAAGATCGATTTATATATTGTTTTTTTTCAATTCAACGTCATGTGCAAAAAATAACCACTGCAACTGGTGAAAGGTGTTACGCACAACACTTGCTGTCATGTGCAAATAAAACATATGCAGTTTCTTATGTGTGTCTCATCAAGGTCTCACAAATATCGCACGCGCACATGAGTATCTTTTCACGACACGTATTTCTTTAGAGGTTTTACAGAATGATAAAAAGACTGATGCAATGGTCGCGAAATCTGCTAATGAATGCCAATAGGTTAACTTATGTTAATGAACGGTTATTAAAAACAAAACTTTCTCTTCTTCCTTCTCTCTTCCTCAGAAAAATTTTATCATAAATGTCGAGACTACTTTAATCTAAAAAATTATATATATTATATAAAAATTGTTGTTTTATGCAAAAATAGTAATTAAAAATTTATGAACAGTTTATATATATATATATATATATATATATCC